GGTCTACATCTCTAAGAATCCAGAAAATATGACCAAATCAACATGCAATTGCATTTTAACATTTAAAATATTTCTTAAAGGGCGGGAAAGAACTTTTTCCATTAATAGTTGTACAGCGTAACAGCTTGGTTCCAGAACTTTTTTTTAATTTTTATAAATCTTGACTACATAAGAATTTTCTTTTATTTTCAACGCAGTTAACATAATAAAATCAGTACATTATATTACTGTCGCAAATGTTAAATATACAAAATAAAACTAGACTGCCAGTGATTCATAAATAATATTGAAATAACTTAAAATCTATAACTTAAACTATATAAAACATTCAGATATATTCTCATGCTCCAAAGCTCTACAAAGTTATTTTTTTAACAAATTAATACTTTTATTTAGCAATGATGCATTAAATTGATTAAAGGTGATTAAGAAATATAAGAATTTATTTAAATGCTTAAACGCTGTTGTTTTGAAATTTGTATTTCAAAAAGTGAAAAAAAAAAGTTTCTTGAGCAGCAAATCGGAATATTATACTGATTTCTGAAGATCATGTGACACTGAAGACTGGATTAATGATGCTGAAAATACAGCTTTGATCACAGCAATAAATAATATTTTTAAATATATTCACATAGAAAACAGTTATTTTGAATAGTAATAATATTTCACAATATTAGTGTTTTTACTGTTTCAAATAAACACAGCCTAGGTGAGCAGAAGAGACTTCTTTCAAAACTTAAAATAAATAAATAAATCTCACCAACCCAAACGTTTGAACAGTACAATTATACATATACTGCAAGCAAACTGACTTTATCCCATCATTTGCCATGTTTAAAGATAGTAAGTGATCTAAAAAAAAATAAACAGGGCACGCTTTAATTTTAATGTGGACTTTAAAGGGAACAGAACTCAAAGTCAGCTGATGCAGTAGGAAGCTGGTGACGTATAAGTGCTGAAAGCATAATAATACAGTGGCACTTCAACATGACATCAAACCTGATTTCCATGGTAACAAGTCATTGGCACGCTGGTGGTTGTCTTGAGCAGCAAATCGGAATATTATACTGATTTCTGAAGATCATGTGACACTGAAGACTGGATTAATGATGCTGAAAATTCAGCTTTGATCACAGCAATAAATAATATTTTTAAATATATTCACATAGAAAACAGTTATTTTGAATAGTAATAATATTTCACAATATTAGTGTTTTTACTGTTTCAAATAAACACAGCCTAGGTGAGCAGAAGAGACTTCTTTCAAAACTTAAAATAAATAAATAAATAAATGAATCTCACCAACCCAAACGTTTGAACAGTACAATTATACATATACTGCAAGCAAACTGACTTTATCCCATCATTTGCCATGTTTAAAGATAGTAAGTGATCTAAAAAAAAATAAACAGGGTACGCTTTAATTTTAATGTGGACTTTAAAGGGAACAGAACTCAAAGTCAGCTGATGCAGTAGGAAGCTGGTGACGTATAAGTGCTGAAAGCATAATAATACAGTGGCACTTCAACATGACATCAAACCTGATTTCTATGGTAACAAGTCATTGGCACGCTGGTGGTTGACAAGCATATTTCATTTGCATCTGAATCTTTATCATGTACGTTCAAAGAGGGAGATGAATCTACTGCTGCATGGCCCAAACTGGAGCGAGAGGAAATATCGGCCAATCGGATAATGCAGTTATGAGCACTTTGCATCACAATAGCTCAAACTGGATTAGCTTATATCAAAAACGGCCAAACTATCACATTAAAAACGTTACCATAATTAATTGTAATTTTATTCTAAAATAAAAGCAGGCATTTCACGCAGAAGACCTTTTTTCCATCAATAAGCACATTCGTTTGCACATCACAAAAGCTTGTTTCATTGAGTTGGCCCAGAAATCAAAGCGCATTCAGCATTTGCTTTTCATGCTCAACATACAAGAAAAGAAAAAAGTGACGTGACATGTGGCCAATTATGGTGACCCATACTCGGAATTAGTGCTCTGCGTTTAACCCATCCAAAGTGCACACACACAGCAGTGAACACACACACACACCGTGAACACACACCCGGAGCAGTGGGCAGCCATTTTTTTTTTCGTCGCTCGGGGAGCAGTTGGGGGTTCGGTGCCTTGCTCAAGGGCACCTTGTCGTGGTATTGAAGGTGGGAGAGAGCGCTGTACATTCACTCCCCCACACCTACAATCCCTGCCGGTACGAGACTCGAACCCACAACCTTTGGGTTACGAGTCCAACCCTCTAACCATTAGGCCACAACTTTTTTATCATTTTGGTAGACTCTTTAAAAAAGATTCCTGTCAACGTACAATAAAAAGTACTGAAAAATAATTATATTAATGGATATAAAAAAAAAAATTTACACTATTGGTCAAAGGTTAGGAATAATTGCTTTAACCTTTTTGAAATAAATTCCTTCTGCTCACCAAAGCTGCATTTATTTGATTAAAAATACAGTAAAAACAGTAATATTGTGGAATATTATTACCATTTAAAATAATTGTTTGAAAATATATTCAAATATTAAAATGTAATTTAAAAGAACAGTAATCTTTGTAATAGAAATCTCTTGTAATATTATTCAATCTTTACTGTAACTTATGACTAATTTAATGCATCCCTACTTTTTTTCTTTTTTTACTTTTATCTTACTTTTTCCAAATGTTGAATGGTGTATATCACACTTTCCA